CGCGTGTAATAAAAGAGTAACATGGAGACGACGAAGGGGACCCCGGCACTGTGTTGCGGTATAACTTTGTCCCAATTCTCAACTCCATAAACCACTTGGAGGGGAAATTATTTCGGGAACACCGAGTGCATCTAAATTTCTGGTATCGTGGTTCGAGCTAAGCTTAAACCCTGAGTTTCTGATTTATGTAGGCCCCGAGGGAGGTCCAGTTGCCAGGCCTCTCTATACACCTTCTTTACACACGCGCACGATGCGCACGCGATACTACATCCTGCTACAACGATACGTATGTACGCAAGACGCATTATCCTATTAAACAAGCAGGTGTGTGTGTGTGTGTACGTACGTGAGTGTGCGTGAAACGCATCGCGGCACATAAACAGAGCGAATAGTGGTATACGCGTAGAACCGTATACTCTACGTACGCGCGATAACGCGTTAACGGAACATACGCGGTACGTATGCAAACGAAACTGCGTCCCGCTTACGATCTGCTAACGTTACCGATATTCAATTACACTTCTACGAAGATACATTGGTAAATTTTAATTGATCGTCGCCGCTAGAGCGAAATACCAAATATCATCGGCGCAATCAAGTATCATCAACGATGCGATACTTCTCCGCAGTGAATACATACAGTATGTACGCAGAATATATACATACATACGTACACACGTGTCGATATACATATGTATGTACGCGTTGCATGCTCGAACATTTCAATCACCTCCGCGGTACGGTTAAGAAATATTATTTATCTCGACGTTTAATGACCCATTAAACCGTCATCGTCGTTGATACGAAAAATAAAATGAAATTTTACGTTCGAGGAACTTCACGATCAAACAGATTCCTAAAAACGTAAGATTTTACTTGCCGAGAAATTTCTTCCTGTATTTACAATACTTGAAACGGGTTGAGTCAACCGTTGATTTTACCAGAAGAAGGATGCGCGCGAAGAGAATCGTTGCATCGTAGAAACGCTATCCGGCGGTCGGCGAGGAATCGGTTGAGCCGCCGTTAGAAAGAGGAAGTCGAGTCGCGCGTATAAAATTGAAACGTTACGGAAAATGATGGTGTATCATCGTTGGCTGGCAAGTAGCTGTCGCAGGTGAGCTAGCGGGAGAGCAAAAGGTTAACACCCTCTACTAGCCTTAAGAGCGCCTTAACTCAGTTAAGTCCGTGACTTAAGAGAGTTTCAAGTGCCGAGAGAAGCATATATCGCTGCCACTTCTCTTCTAAAATCCCTTCCCCCCCCCCCCCCCCCTCTCTCACCGCGCAGTATCGCTGTATACATCGGCCTGTTAAGGACTCCGATCAACCTTCTTCTATGTATTCTAAACGAAAACCTCCAGGCATATACATACACACATATGTATGTACATACACAATGCCTATTACCCTTCCAACGGCGGATGCCGGGTCACTGCTGACCCGGCTTTTAGATGTCTCTTGTTTCAACCAGAGAGAAACAGAGCCACGGACTCTCCTCTGCTTAAACTGTAAATATGTTTCTTATTTTAATCATAATATGTTTGTATAATTTGAAACAGTACATAATGCCTAGCAAAATAAAGAAAAATGTGGTTTCGCTTTCATAGGAAACAGATTTTAATATTGGATCATATTTGACCTAGCGTCCGCCGTGCGTGCGACTGTCACGCCATCCGCTGTCCGAGGGTTAAACTGTTAAAGCGAGGTTGGAATCGAAAGGAATGGGAGAAAAAGCATGCTGTTCGAGTTATCGATGAAACAAACGTTTAAAAAGTTGGAAAACGTAAATGGGCGAATTGAGAATAAATGCGTGGGAAAGTGACAGTTGATGGTTCAAGTATATGGGAATACCGGCCTATCGGTTATAATTCCATAGTACGGTTCCCTCGAGTATGTACCTTCCGATTAAAGTCCGCGGCCACGTGAAAGTATACAGTTACGGTTACAGGGGAATTTATATCGTCGTCTATATGACTGGCTACAAGTGTGTTCAGATTCTTGGAATTGGCCAAGTCTAATGGTCAAGAACGCATCCTTGGAACGATATGAAGAAACTCGAATCCGCTCTAGGAATGCTGCTGCGCTCCTAGCTTCTTCGCCGATGTGAACGTACAATCGGTATATAGGAGCGTATTTATATACGAACGGTTAGTTTAGTTTACTTCGAATATTTCGAGGAATTATATGAAACGAAAACAGAGGGCGAACTTCTTTTTGAAAGAAGAGAAAAATAGAACAAAGATGGCGATTAAGTTCACTGCGTTTCCACGGAAAAGCGATAAGGGAAGAGTTCCAATGTATGCGCGCGCGCGCGCGCGCGCGCGCGTGTGTGTGCGAAAAATGTAAAGAGATCCGAGAAAAATCGTGAAAGGAAATCGCTGGTAAGGGGAGAAACGGTGATGAGGAGAGAGAAAAAGGGCAGATGAGAGTATGAAAGTGGATGTGTTGGGTAGGTAGATCGAGAAAGACAAGCCGAAGGGTAGAAGAGAAACAGAAGAGAAACGGAACGAAAAGAAAGGAAATAAAGTGTGCGAGTAAAAGATCTCGCGTGCAAATGTACAAGCAAAGCTGAGTCGGTGTAGTTGTGGGTAAGAGAGCCGCGTATGTGCGTTCCTCTATCTAAATGCGCACGTATGCACACGTGGTGCAGGAAAACGCGCGATACCGGGCACACGTAAGTAGTATATAGACAAGATGCAGGCCCGAACCTCCAGTCGCGCGGTCTCTTACTTAGATTAATGAAACTCGTGCGAACAGCGACTCTCAATCGATAATCGACACCTTGTGAACCTACATAATTCACAAACTAAGGGAACTCTTTCGTGAAACAGAAAAGAAAAGAAAGTTACGGTATCGTTAATTCTGCATAGGAGAATCGCTTTGATCGAGTCATTTTCGAGTACGTTTCTTATATCGTTCAATGAATTCGACAGGATCTTGCCGCGTGATACATAGTTCACGAACGATCAAGTTCGACCGTTGACCTAGTTAACGAATCAATTCGATTCTGTGTTTTAGAATTCGAGAGAACGGGGGAAGGGGAAAGCAGTGTGTATTTGAACTCCTTAGTGACACGTCCTTTTAACGCACACTTGATCGCGATCAGCCAAAAAGTCAACGGCAAGGTTAAACACGATCGTTCTTCTTTCCCAATGTTCTTCCTTCCAGTTTCGAAACAGAGGCGAATAGAGATAGTCGTCGATTCGATTCGATTCATTAGAAGACAATGATAAAAAGGCGAAAATGGAGTAAAGAAAAGAAAAAGATTGATCGGCAAATTATATCATTTCA